AGCAGGAAACACTTTTGTTTTAAAATGCTTCAGAGTGCCATGCATTATCTGAAAAATTACCTGAATAATGCTGAACCAGCTGCTGAAGAGTTTCAAATTGTGCCCGAGTTGTGATATAATATCCACCATTGTCAAGTTTACGAATCTTATAATGTTTGACGTGATCGCCTTTCATATCATCCCAGTCTCGAATAGACAGGGAATAGGCACCTGTTCCAAGCAAAGGAGAAATAAAAAATTGTAAGCAGCTTTTAGACACAAAGATTTTGGTTTCCTGGTCAGTTGTTATAAAGTGAAAGAGAAATTACTTCCAAAAAAATGCTGACTGGAGCTTGAGAAAGAACAGGTGAATCTAACACAATGAAGCAAGTGTCACAGGAATCTTAGGATGTCCACACCATATCCCTTTCATGCTCTTCTAGAAAGAAATCGGGACTTTTGTATAAATGAAAACTCACTTTTTAACATTCACTGCTTCAGGTTGTTAAATTGACTTTTCCTATTCTAAGTGTCAGGTCACACTGCAAATACTGTACTTTAGGTAAATGGCAGTGGGTGGTAAATATCAAGATTTTCATAGGAAAAACTGGAGATAATGACTTTATATATGCATAGTGTTGTTACCCAGATGGATCCCAAACTTCTTTATAAACATTAAACAACCAAATATACATACTTCGTATGTCACAGTCTTAGGAAAGTGGTACTACACCCAGGCTGTGCACCAGGAGATCTGCAAGAACGGCATGTTTCACTTTCCAAATCCATGCTGGAGCTTTAGGTCTTACTGGTGGGATCCAGATGCCTAAACACAGGGGTTCAGTGCCACGTGTGATGCCCCAGGACATCCTGCTTGGCAGTTTTCCCACAGGCTGTCACATTTGTCCGACCCACGTGGATGCCCTGCAGGCATTTCAAATGGCTCTGGATGCTCACAGCCAGGTAAAGGAACCTTAGCTGAGGGGCTGGATTGAGTTTTAGGTGTAGCTGTGGTTGTCTGCAGGTGGGCTAGGGGCTTGATTTAGATGCCCACACACAAGCTTCTGGTGCTATTAGGGCAGCTGAACCCCAGCTTGGTTTCCATGAGCGTTTTGGCACTGTAGATACCGATGGTGTAACGCAGGATTGAGCATGAGGTGTCTGTAGGCGTGGGCAGCTGAACTGAACCCCAGCTCCCCGCTGACTGTAAAGGGAGCTTGGTCACCTACATGGGGACTTGCACATCCAGGTGTCTTAATTTGAAGCACGGTCCTATTCTACGTACAGTGACCCCCACACGTTGGTTCTCTACCGTGTCAAAAGCAAAGGCACATTTTACAGCATAATGCAGTTTCTGAGCAAAAGCATGGCCATTTCAAAGGCAGGGGAGGAGACAAGTCTTCACTCATGGCTCGGACGAATATTGTGTTTACTCAAAGGTAATTCAGACATTAAAAGGAAGAAAAATGGAGGTAACTGGCAGCTGCAGAGAGATCTCAGGAGGCTCCTCCTTCTGGAGCCTGGGCTGCTTTCACTGGTAACGATGTCAGCTAAGGGCAGGAAAGGAAAACCACCAGCAGACAGTTTTGGACAATGTAAAAGGTGGAGTGATTTCCTACAGGTCTGATAGCAAACAGCATCGACTGCTGCTTAACCCAAGTCAGGGTACCTTTCAACACACCTGGCAGGTCCACATCCTCCAGAACCACCTCCAGCTACGTGAAATGGTTTAAACACCCCCCACCCAGAGTTAGGTGGTTGAGATTCCTGGTGTAAGATGTCTTTCCTGGACATCACCCCAGGAAGACGCTTCCCTGACCACGTTAACCTGCAGCAGGTCGCACTGGCGGGTGGCTCACCGCCGAGGGAGCTGCAGTGAACAAAATGCCTCCACCCCGACTCCGAGGACTTCTCAAATTCCCTGTTTGTCCTAAATAGGAGGAAAAGAGCCAGCGCTTACACAGATGATTCTGGTTTATGTGAATGGGAGACACCCTGAGAGGAGTGACAGGGTTTTTATTTCTAAGTGTAGAAAAATGCTGTTTGTTTAGGACATTTTTCTGAGGAGGTTCTCCCACTGAGTACGTACGTCTCTCTCAAGTAGGGGTTCAAAGCTTTTTGGGGATTTGCAAGCACATCTTGTGCACGCTTTGTACCACCACTCTGGGTTGTACACTGTCAGCCTAATTTCAGAATTTTCCCGGCAGTGTTCTCCACCTCCGCATTTGTGAGTTTTGATCCACTGGCAGCAGCTGTATTTTCTTTAGTCACGCTCCCTGCCTATCTGGTCACTATTTTAGATTCTTTAGGAAAACGTAAACAATCTGTGGCTCCAGGTCTGCAATCAGAGCTGCGTGGGTGGCCCTCTGTGGACCCCCGCTGACCTCAGCTCAAGTTGCAGGACTGGAGCTTTAGTTCAAATCTGGACAAAAACAAGAACCAAGATGGATTTCATTATTCATTTATTTAGGCTGTTGGTTATTTATACTATTCATTATTATCTGATGATAAATTAAAATCTAAGAGATATACATAATAAAAATTTGGATAGAAATACGACATTACAATATATCATACTAACGAATTTTTTAAAAAAACAAACCTAAAACCAGACAGCCTTGGAGGGTGGAGATTGAAACCAGGTGAAGGATTATACAGACAAGAGCTGATGAAGTACCTGGGTAGTCAGGCATTGAAAAAATGAAAAGCCAGCTCCATATGATTTATTTTGGAAGGAAGAAGAGAAGGCAACCATGATCAAGGGAGGTTAAATTCATGCTGAAGTCATCCATGATGCTACTTTTAATATGATCCTGATTAATTTTATTATTGTTATTATTTAAAGCAGAAGGGATGATTCTAGGGCACAAAACAATTCCTGCCTCAAGCCCAAGATGACTCGCTGGAGTAAAGGCATTTTGAGAAGACTTATGGGAGAATGCACCATTCGAGCCCTCCCTGCTGCCTTTTTTCTCTCTTATGAACAACAAGCTCCCTCTGTTTTCTTCTAACAACATATTGAAACACCACAAGGATGAGAAGGGAAATAGGCATTTTTGACAAAAACCATGCATGTTTGGTTTTTTCCAATGGCTTTGATGCAAACTTAGCCTGAAGATGTAAGCTTGCTGCTGTAAGTCCATCCATGATGGATTATGCCACTTCCCCAATGCTTTTGTGTCTCACAAGAAGTTCTAGAAAAAAGCCCTGACTTACTTAGCTAAGTAAACAGCCCTGCAAAACTTAGCCCCTTATCACTGTATAAAAAATGGTCAAAACAGACTAAATTGATAATGTGGTTTAGAGAAACAGTGTTGTGTTTGTTTTGAGGATCCATGCATGCCTGCGTGAGTGAGTTTTTAACCTCGGCTCAGAGTGGAACGAAGTCCTGCTCCTCGCACACACCACAACAACTGTTGGTGAAAACGAGCAGGTGGAGGCTATTTGCAGAAAAAGAGCAAGTTAGAGCCTGTCTCGCTCCTGGTGAGAACGCCTCACTGCGACATAAGGTACGGTGAAGCTGTGGGGTAACAAGATGGGAAATCAGCTGCCTGAAACAACAGCGTGTCTGTTCAGATTTTGCATCAGAAAGAGTCTTCAGAGTTACGGGCAGCGAAGGAAGAATCCAGTGACTGCAGGAGTCAAAAACGTAAAACAACTTTAGATGACAGAATGCAGCATCTGAAGATAAGTCAAGTAGAGAGGAGTGGGAAGGAGTGCTTCGCTTCTTTAAGCCCCTTTACCAGCCATGACTCCAACCACTTTGCATGCTAACTCCGGCTGACAGAGTGTGCTCTGATCAAAGCGCTGACAAGTCAGCGCTTTAATTACATGAGCCATCATTAGACTTCAGAACTTACACGGAATTAATTCTAGTGACGTATGCTTCCCCCAGCTATTGTTTTGGATTGGTGGTTAATTGAGAAATGGCCAGGTTTGTTTCCACTTAGTTGCAGGTTTTCTCCTCAATAGTTGTATGAGTTAGAGAGATCTTTTCATACATGTGAAGCTTTGAAGAAGATGTTGACAGGCCTCATGAACAAAATGTAAAAGCAAAGATAGCACCCTCCAAGAAAACTGGAACTCCTCCAATATTTTTAGATGGAAGGAGGAGAGTACATCCTTCTGCTTGACTTCAACAGAATGGATACAGATGAATGCTTTATGAATATACTAATTAGAAATATTTTCAAGTCTTTTCACTGTAAATCTATTAATTTAAAACTGCTACATCTCACCCCCACACACACCTTCCCCGGGATCCAGCATTTCAAAGGGGTAAGGCCAAAAAAATCCCCTAATCTTCCCAAAATAATAACCAGTACCTCTCCTCCCCTGCAAAATCTTATCTTAAATCTTCCAGGCAACAAGGTTCAAATATTCTGCTTGTTCAGAAGTAAGCAAGCAGTAATTTTCACCAAACTAGACTGGAGGTTCCCAGCATCTGCTCACAGTAAGCTAGCTGGCTGTTCCTGGACCTTAATATGGACACCAGGAGGTCTGACTCCTGTAGCCCCATAGCTGCTGTTCTGAGGGGCCGCTCTCCACTGAACTCCATTGCAATAGTAGCATCCTCAACACAGGCGTTGAGAGAGACAGTGCGATGTTCAGAGTGTGACAGCAGAGCAGAGCACCCTGCCTGTGCACAACCTGCACTGCAGATACCATGGGTTGAGCATGGCATGGGCTGCACTTGCGTTGTTCTCTGCTTTGAACATTCAATCTAAGACCTGGGATGTCCAGACATCTCATTGCATAGCACACATATATGCAAGATGATACTTCTTTCTACCTTCACACCACTGAAAACAGTATTTCACAAAGTTAGCATGACTCTTCTCATATATCTTCTCATTCATAGTCAGAATAGCTCTGGCCAGCCTACCTTTGGTAGTTTCACTTTCCCGGATCAGGAAGGTACCTCTGGGGTTTCCAAATGACAACAGCTGCCTCTCAGCATCTTTTCGGCCAAGTTTGCCAAAGTACCACCTTAGGGAAACATCAGAAATAGTAAGACAAATGCTACACAGAATTACTAAGTATTGTCATGGAGTTCAGACATGGAGGATTATTTGTGGAAACTATGGTTACTCAAGTATATTCAACCATTTTTGTCACACTGTGTCTCTTTTATTGTGGTGGGAAGCTAATGTGACAAACTATGTAGTAGCTGTTGTGTATGTTGTGCAGTAGCACTTTGCATTAAGCCTATAATCGGTAGATGCTGAGAATGCTCGTTTGGCGTCTTAAGACAAAGGCCAGACTTCAACAAACAGAGCGCAAGACTTGGCAGGGGAAGGAATAGACAAGGAAAAGGGCAGAAAAATGCGTCGCTGATGAAGAGCAGTATTTTTACAGATGTTGCTATAAACTATGTATTTGACTTACATAGTGATGTATTAGTATTCAATATTTTTGTTGCAGCACAGCTGTAAAACCTCAGCAGAAGGACCAGATGCAACCACTTTACTGTGGTTGTATAAGGCTTTCAGAGTTTTGGTACCTTTTTCCTTCCTGCAGCAGGTTTTTGGTTTTCTTTTTTGTTTCACAATCAACATGACGTACAGACTACAGTAGTACCTGCTCAGCTATATAAGCTCCTCCAGTGTATCTTTTATACTGGAAATAATATGGATATACACAACATTCAATTTTTGGCATAGATATGTCATAGATATTACGCTGCCTGCTGTATGTGTTGTAGGCATCCTACCTACTGGTAGGTATTTGTTGATACAATGTGCCCCCTTTAACAGACATTTAATTTGCACACTAATTGACTCCAAATATTTTTACAAGTCAGTTCAGGAAAAGCAAGGGCACCTTTTGCTTAAAGCTTAAATTAGTCGACACTCGAATAAAGGAAGCAGACCTATGTTCCTTTAGGTTTCCTTCCTTTGTTTTGACATTGAAAAAGCACTGAGCTTGTGCTTCTTTTGTTACTAATTACCTAATTATTTATCAGTGCAGTTAAGAACTGAAATAAAAATAATGTAAGCCATTTGAAAAATCACTGCAATCCATCAAAACCAACTCCTCAAACCTCCTTCAAATACAGCACTAATGGGTCTTTACAATGAAAATAAAACATACTCCTCTGCTTGGATGGAATCGACTGGAGCCACATAATTACTGGGAATGTAACCAGTTTCGCCTGTTGTCAGGGACCGAGCCTCCCACCAGTCTCCTTCCCTGCAGAAACAGAGGTGAGGACAAGTGAGAGCGAGACACAGCTGTAAAGACAACGATCTGACTTTGCTAACAGCACCCGCAGCTGCATGGCGTAAGAAGCCACAGCAACTCATCTCTTGATTACCGGCATGCTTCTGAGAGCTGTTTGCATCTAAACCCCCAAAATACATGTATTTCTTTACACCTGTTATTACTTCAGCAGTAATCAGCAATGTAGCCTTCCAAACGTAGCACAATGGCATGAACAGGCATAACGACTCAGTGAAATCAGGTTTGGTGAGGGCTGGATTTGGACTAGAATATTGAAAACGGTCTCCATAGCAATTATTCTAATACCGACCCTTGAGAGAGCTTATAGAAAAACCGCCAAACTGAACACTGTCGCATCCACTGCTTATTTTAAACTTCTATGGGGATAATTAATCTGAAACACAAAGCCACCAAAAAGCCATCTATCGCTACGGAGGTTTAGACAGCCCTTAAGGATCACACTTCGTTGTCTAGATTCCCTCTCTTGGTCACCTAGAGGAGGTATCTGAAGTATCAAAGGATTTAGCTGCCTTTTCAAATACTTACAAAACGCCATTCTTCTACAACATTCAAATACGAAGAGGTCCATGCAGGACCATCTTATGGCAGTGTTCCACAGGCTTAGCATCAATTTTTGTCGTTCACGTGCATGTACGTGGTACTGCCCTGCAGACAATGCATGCTGCTGCAGAACACACAGCCTCAGGAGAAGTTTATTTCTCAGCTTTTTACAGGATGCAACGATTTGGGATTTAGCAATTTGTATTTCACTCTCAGCACCAGATTCACGGATATTTAACTCCTACCACTACTAATAAGAATTCTCTTTTCTATTTCTGGGCTGCTTAGAAACTTTCTCAGTTCCCCTCTCTGTAAAACAGAGAATTGTTCACTAAATAAAACACTATTAATCGAATGTGGCCAGAGAATTGAGCCTCTTCTGTAAGCAAGCAGTTACAGAAAACACATTGTCTAAGCTATTACTGTCAGGAAAGGCTGTGTCAAGGTGAGCTCTTTAAATTTTCAAATCCACTTCTTTAACAGCTTGAAGGAGTACAAACTCTATGGAAAACAACTAGAAAACAGCTGTGATTAGACAAAAAGGAGAGGTTTCCACTTCTACAGTTCAAAAAAGTGAAGACAAGAAGCTTTTCTAGAGGCTGCCAGCTGACACAATTTTAATACACCTTGTGTGCATTAGTATGTCAGGCAAATGGCCCTATCTCTTTACGTCCCTAATTTTATCTGCTGAAGTGCTAGCCCTTCCCCTGCATGTTGCTGCAGAATAGTTCTGAGAGATTATGCCATACTGTGGTCGAGAAATTGTACCATTACATTTCTTCTCCTTACTGTACAGACAGTCCACTAGATGGAGGTATTTTATCGTATCTAGGGAGGAAAAAAGCAGTCCTGTAGATGACTGCAACATCAGGAGCAACCCCCTCTGCTTTGACAGAGGAGCCTGAATCTCTCAGAACGCTGCCAGAAAGGAGGAGGAACGCAGACTTTTTTCACAGCTCTTAATTTTAGACACCCAACTGAGGTAGGAAGAGGCTAGTCAGCAGGGCTAGCCTGGGTGTGCGGGAGCGGCGGGGGGCATGCAGAGGATGGCTGCGTGTTTCTGAGCCCCGAAGTCAGGCTCTGCTCTGAGCCACCCCTGCAGGTACCTCTTTCCTCCAACCTGCCCTTGGTATCATTTCGGACTTCTAATCACAGGGATACCCTCTGTACGCCATTTCAGGTATTGCTGTCCTGAACTTTTAATCCGAAACACAAATCAAATGTAATTTGTTGAGTGCTAAAAAAAAATCCGAACCCCTCCAAAAATTCCAGGCAAACTGGTTTTGTGCACGGACATGCTTTCTGGTTTGCAAGCATCATTGGCAGACTCTTTAAAAAATGGTATTCTTTCATATAATTTCTGATATAAGTGAAGAGAGGTAGCATTCTCACAGAAAAGCTGCTTTCTGGAGATTCCCAGCCTGGCTCTCAGTACTCCGGGAGTGTGGTTAAGTCCGTGTTTATAAGCAGACAGACCTGACTACGATGGGAACGGAGCTTCTATAATCCTACAAGAAAATCAGTGGATGCTTGGGTTTTTTTCCTCTTGGAAAACCTGCCTCCAGGCAGTAATTACCTGCATCAAAATGCATGTACTGCAGCCGCCCACACATGGGGGAACCTCTCTGTCCCACCAACTCCACGAGTGATTGCTCTGCAAGTCCTGGTGAGCATCCCCTGATTTCATCAACTGGTGTGTGTAAGGGATTTATAATGCGTGGAATTTCTTCCTGTTTCAAGTTATGGCACAGTTTGTGCAAGGTTAGGAAAGCAGCAGGCCATGAGAATAAAAATGGATGATAGGTTAAAAAAGGATTTTTTTCCCGAGTGCTAATTTAGAAGCAGAGAGGTTTTTAAACTGCTGCTCCCTCTACAAGTCGTAACTGAAGTTTCTGTGCTTTCATCTACATCAAAGTTCTTCAGCTTCATGGCTTCATGAAATATTCCTCAGAATTACCTGATTTTTTTTTAAACTTTAATGCACATCGAGCCAACTCCAACCCTGGAGTTGTTCTATTAAAATTAACAGGAGTTGCGCCAAGGATCGATTTGCCTCACTATCACACAGCGTAAGAAAAAAGAGATGACAGCAGTATCACAAAGCCTCTAGAAAGCGGCATACTTGGTTGTTAGCCCATTTTTACCTCTACACGATAGCAATACTGAACGTAACACAGAGCCTTCAACTTTATGTTCTTAGCCAAGAGTTACAAGATGTTCAGATGTAGGTCAGTAGCACAGTAAGTTTTAGATGTTATTTTTAAATTGCTAAGGGATTTTTTTTTTCTATGGGCAGCTAATAAAATTAATTTTAAGTTAATGATTTCCAGGATGGAAGTGTGGTTTTCATGCCAAATGCAACTGTACAATGGTGCATTCTCACTTAATAGAACTTCCTATCATCTTCTGACTGTATCACCTACCTTTAAAAGGAAACAAAATGCTTTTAAACTTGACATGCAAATCTGGGTAGTGTCTCTTTTGTTGAATCAGTTTTTAGGTTGTTTCTGTGTAGAGATACTTGCAGCAGATTGCAAAAAGTGTTAGTACATGCCTTGCAGAACTTCTGTGACTATCGGTAAAGTACAGAGCTGGTACTCTCAGTTCTGAATGTGAGTTTACTGTGAAATGTAAGCAGTGAATCACATAATCTAATGATTATTTTTGAAGTAAAGCTGCATGTAGTTGAAAGTTTTTTTATTCAATAATAAAGCACTTTGCAGAAGTGCACTAAATGCAATGACAAGTAAGTAAACATAGACTAAAACTCCTACATATCTTGAATACCCAACACTAGATTTTACTAATAACATAAGCGGACAAATGTAACTGTCAACATTATAGGTTTAAAAATACTAAAAAACATATTCCCAAGCCTAAAACTTACGAGCTGTTAAGTATTTGAAATTTTTCTCCTTTGTGAAAACTCAGGTCATCTTCTGTTCTTGCTTCATAGTCATAAAGCGCCACAAAAAGAGTTACACCTAAAGAAGAAGATAGGCGAGTTACACTCCACCACAACAAAACAGGAGGGAAAGTAGCGAAATAAACTGAAGCCTCCTACTTTTTGGACAACCATTCTAATCCTTCTGCTTTTGTGCAGCCAGTGGGGATGTCACCTCCTTCAGCCAGCACAGTCATTAGTCCTCTTGGTTTGGTACCCACACACAGTACAGGATCCCGAGTGGGCACAGAGGGTTTGAAGAGACATAGCCATGCCAAGTATTTCCTGCTAACTACTTGAGGTGGCTCAGACCACACCTCCCGTTCCCTGGTAGAGGGATGAGGCCGTCAGCCAGCCAAATGGGGCATGCATACCTAATTTCCCACCCCCCTTGCACCTGCAAGTTAGCAAAAGTAGGGCTGAAGACCCAGGTCCACCCCTACTTCAACTTTTTTGCAGGATTTCATGAAATAACTCTTCCCAGAAGCAGCATGCTGAGACAGTCATGCCTCTGCTGTGATTATGTGATTGATACTCACCAAGGGCACTGAAAGAAGACTTCGAAACTCACCTGTTCCTCCTCTTGTACGCAGTGTCCCTGTATGAGAGGAGGAATTGACTCCACCGAACACAGTCAGTCCTTGGCCTCCTGTGGCATGGAAGTTGTTGTAGTTTGGGATTGAAGTCACACCAAAGCTAGGATAGTGCTGCGGAGTGGGATCTGTCCCATAGCGGTAGCCTGAGCTTTGAGTTAAACTGCCATCCCTCTCGTCAGTCAGTTTTGTTGCTTCTTTATCCTTACATTGCACACAGCCCATTATCTAAAATCCTAGGAGAAGAAGGAAAGGGCAGGTGTTCATACACTGATGCTCACCAGATCTACCCCAAACCCACAGATGACGAGGACCAAATTAGGTTCACCACTCAAAAGTTAAGCACTTTGACAAAACCCCACGGTGGTTTGAATATAAACAGCAAGACGTTGGGAAAAGCTCAGACAAACCGTTCCTCACAGTGGTCTCCCGTGGGGGCCTGGGTCCCGCCTGCTCGTACGGCAGCTCCCTGCCCAGCCCTGGCCGGGCAATCGCTCCCACAGAGGCGGCGAGAGGATGAAACCCCTCTCGCTCACCCTTCGCCAGGAGAGCACGACCGGCAGGCGAAGGACACAAAAAATGCAGATTGAGGGGTTCAAGTCTGTCCCCCAAAACACAGAGCGAGGTACTTGAGCTCACGGTTCATCTTTGACCTCGCCAGCTACACAAGAGCCGACCTCGCTTAAAGGCAGGGCAAGCTTTTTCCATTGCTGGAGCTTGCTGAGAGGCAGAGGAGCAGCCAGGCTGAGCTGACAGTTACCACAGCCCAGGGAAGCAGCAGGGAGCTCGCCAGACGGCACAATGAAAACCCTTTCATGCGGTACCGAACTGAAGTGTAAAACCTGCCGGTAGCAGACGGCGGGACGGCCAAAGGTAAACATGAGTTAAGAAACTAGAGGAAGTCATGGAGGAATTAGTACGTCAAATGCAGAGCGTCTCCGGGTCCGGATCCCGGACAGGAGGAAACCGAGAAGGTACGGCTTGGAAAAGGTTGCTCTCAGTTTTGTACTTCTTGTAACCTCTTGTTCAGCACCCTCATGGGGCACTACCAGGGCCTGGGTTAACCCCTCTTAATTTTAGGTGCCTACCTCTCTCTAGGTGGAGGGAGACAGAGGGTGATCGGGCCTCCGAGGTCAGTCCTGTTACCCGGTATTGCTTTTCATCTGTCAGCTCTACCACCTTATAATCCACGTGCTGGTGTTACCGAACTGTTTCCTATTGACTCCAGCTGAACCTAGACACAAAACTCGAGTTTCTGAAGCCGGGCGTGATGAATCGAGGGAAACAGACACTTGTCTGGACGCACCCTTGATCGAACCAGCATGGGACTCTTACACATAACCCGGCACGCAAACGACATACTCTAAACACCGAGGCTGCAAGAAGAGCGGCGACAATAGAAAAATCTTTTAAAAATTACACTTACTAGACATACTTTGTCCAGGATATATAAATAGACAGGGAGAAAATGCAGAGAAGAGGAACAAAAAAAGGTATGGCGAAGCACGTTTTTTCCCCCCTCCTATTTCTTTTCACATTTCAGCCAATATCCGTCCATTTAGGGTGACTAAAAAGCCTACCCTTTTCCAAATATCCTCATTTTTCTGTAGCTTCCAGGCTGGCTATTTTGTAGTATGCCTTACCCCAACATCAACACAGGAAATTGGTTCTGACAAACTCATGGGATTCAGAAAAAGCTGCTAATGTTGAAAAATTATGCAGTAGCTCCCTGCCTGTCTGACAGTCCACAATCTGGATACCTGCTTCCTAAACATAACCTGCCTAATTAAAAAAAAAAACTTCTGTTGAAGGGTATTTTCTACAAGTTGAAGATACTTCCAGTTACTCTACAAGCCTGTTCAGAAAATTAAATATATTTCCCTGAGCTGCGCTGCCTGCAGTTAGCACAGGTCTGCTGTCTCTTAGCTGAACTTCAAGGTGCCCTTTTTGCATTTCTCTGTGTGCTTCAAGACGCCACATCCACTCGGCAGAGCTCCCTCACTAAGACTTTTAAATCTCTTCACACAGCTAGCAAGAGAAGATCAGAAACAAGGACTCCCGGCCCTGCATTCGCCTCCATGGGCGGCGTGAGCTGGGGTCCCTCAAGAAACCGAAGTGGGAACGGGTGGAGGGAAGGGGGTTGCAGGGGCTGCAGAACACGCTGCTGCTAGCCACGCCAGCCTCCAGCCTCTGCTTGCCCCGGTGGCCGAGCTGGTGCCGGAGGTGCCCAGCGTCGTGCTGGGGCTCGAGGTTGTCCAGGCACCTCTGCTGCTTTTGCCTGTTTCGACAGGAGGACGGTCCGGCTCTGCAGCCCCTCTGTTTGGAGGTGTCGTCTGCCCGGCTCCTCTCGGGGCCGAGGAGCCCCCGGGCAACGCCAGGGCGGAGGCAGGAGCACGGGGCGGGCGAGGGCCCTGCGGGGCAATGGCTCATCTCACTGCTCGCAGCACCGTCAGAGCCCAGGGAGCTTGGGGTGCGAGGGATGAGTCTGGCACTCGCGCCGGAACGTACGCTCATTCCCTTCAAAACAGCTGAGTGATACGCAGGCGTTACTATTTAAAGGATATCTCAGCAGCCATTTTGTTGGCTTGCGACCTTATCTCCCCGTGAAACTGCAGAGCCTCCTCCCTTTCCCCTCTCAGCTCCGTTTCTCCACTTATTTTTTTCCCAGGTGTTTTCACAGGAAAAAGGAGAAAAGAAAATGAAAGAACGAAAAAAAAAAAAAAGAGATGGGAAACATGAAATCTGGGAGAGCAGTGGGAGGAAAGGGGTTTTCTTGTTGCTCATTCTCTAGCATTCAGCTGAGCAGGGAAAAATGTCTCCCCTGAAATCTGTGAATATTTCACATCACAGAATCGCAGAATCACAGAATCATTAAGGTTGGAAAAGAGCTCTAAGATCATCAAGTCCAACCATCAACCCAACACCCACTCAACCATGTCCCCAAGTGCCACACCTACATCTACACCTTTTTTGAACACTTCCAGAGATGGCGACTCCACCACCTCCCTGGGCAGCCTGTGCCAATGCTTGACCACTCACTCAGTAAAGAAATTTTTCCTAATATCCAATCTAAACCTCCCCTGGCACAACTTGAGGCCATTTCCTCTCATTCTATCGCTAGTTACTTGGGAGAAGAGACCAACACCCACCTCCAAATTACAAGGGCTGACAAGAAGCCCTACAGGCTTCATTTACACATTCTAGTCAACTGATGAAAACAGGAAACAGTTAAAACTGCAAATCAGCCACAAAAATAAAATTGTTCAAAGTATTAATTCTGAAAAAAGTGAATAAACCAGGAGATGGTATACATACGTACCGGTAGTTTCAGAAAAATAATGGTTTGGGGTTTTCTTTTTACTAGGAATGGTATGAATAGAAAACCAGTGAATTATCTGTTTCTTGATTTTTGTTTGGTTCTTGCTCCCGTTATCTTTTTGCTGGCAATGGCAGTTCACAGGGAAGGAGAATGTGATGCAAAGTGGATGACTGACAAAAAGGGCTTTTTCTTTCACTTGCCCTTTCCCACTTTGTCACAGTGTCTAGACAATCCGAGTATAAAGACTGCTTGATTGTAGCCTCTTGTAAAATGTGACAGAGGGTGTTACATGCACGCATCTTTTCAAGCCAAGTCTCTGAATGTTGTCTGTTCCTGCCTCAAAGGAACCAGCTTCACGGGGAGTTGGCTAAATGCGAAAGAATACATGTATGCATGTACATGCTTAAAGTGATTTCAGCTAACTCAGGGGTTTCATAGACAATAAATATAACCTCCATTCAGCACTGGCCTTTGTGTCAATGAATGGATTCCAAAACCTAATCTCCTTCAGTATCACAGAGCAGGCTTTTAATATACGAAAGTCTCATCTCCCTGCATGTCAGCATTTGGAGCTGTGGAAGGCTGGAGTTACTCAGCCAGCTCTGAGATCACCAAACAAAATCTGGAGCTGTTTTACACCGAATTCTCCAGAGACGAACGCACGACGCTGTTCAACCAACATGCTGCGCAACTTACAGTAAAGGAACAAGATTTTATTCCATTTCCATTAGGAAAGGCAGCATTTCTCAGATGTGTGAGTTATGGGTCATGCAGCATTATCATAATTTGACACTGGTATTGTTAAAAAGTATGTAACTAGCCCAGTTAAAATGAACTTTTCTAATGCAAGCAAGTTAAAATTGTTTATTTTAAAGTTGTATTTTTATAGGCAATATGAAACATGTGTTTTCATGAAAACATAAAACATTTACATGTTTTTTGAGACTTCCTTAGAGACAAATGAAAATAACCATTATGTTACTTGTCTCCTTTCTTGTCCTTGTTATATTTCTTGGACTCCAACATTTACATTGCAAGCAATCCAACATCAGCCTAACCAGAACACTAGTTTCCTCCCACATGGTGGAAAGGTTATTTGACAAAGATATAAAAGTAATTATATAATGATTAATTATTTATATAGTCATAGCACCTTAATTACTTTCAGCTAGGAAACAGATGAAGGCTAAGGAGATGTTATTAACACTGTTGTTATCGTAAATCGTCCTCCTTCAGTTTTTCTGTCGGTTCTTGGTACAAAATGGAAGCCAAGACTGAAATACCCGCCAAAGCCAGACATCCACTCCATTAACAGAAACAAAAGTAGTCCTCTGTTAGCTCATCAAAGCCGAGGAAAAGTCCAGGAGTACCTACATGGAAAAGTCAGTTTTTCACACTTCTATTTCAAAAGTAAAAGTGGTATTTGAAAAGCAGAAAGTATTGATAAGCCTTTGCTTAGCCCAGCTTCTGCAGTTGTAAGCCATCAGGAAAAGATGGATGGGAGGAAGACTGGTGTAAATTCACTCCTTCAGAGCGTCGGAAGTTTTTCCATACGATTTTGCAACTCTCAGCTGAAACTCTGAGTTACGGTACCTCCTCAGAGCTTGCTTTTTTGAGTGTTGTAAAAGAAAGTGGGTCCTTAAAATATTTTAGAGAGGGGTACAGGGAGATGCAGGGAAACAGCTGTCTATTCTGCACCCTCCTATCCACGCCATGGCCTCTGTCCTCCACGCCCTGGCACAGGAAAGGAGACCACCATGGGAGAGGGCTCCAACCTGCTGAAGAGACATGGAGCAGGTTCAGAGCCAGCAGGGCACGTTCTCCTTCCTCTTGGTTTTCTCTGGAATGAACTTTCATGGTATGTTTTTAGGAGAAGATCTTTCAGTGGAGGACACGAAAGGGAAAG